CAATGATATTCAGCCATATCTACTGCCATAACAGTTATTTGTAATACTTTAGTGTCATCTTTTCAACTAGAATTATGCTTTAATCTAAATGAACCACCTGCAAATAGTTGGTCTATAATGGTGATGTACTGGTGTTCAAACTTGAATCTAGTTTTAATCAAAGTATATCTGGAAATGTGAATTTGTTACTAGTAATCGGTGTGATCTTTAGAACATATTGCCTTCATTGCATGCTCTTATATCAATATTTACTTTTGGTTGAATTGAATTACCGATATGTCTATTTCTATTGCTTTTGTGATGTGAAAACCAATAATTTGTGAAGAAAGTAATTTGCATTGAATCCTGTCTTGATTCACTCCTAATGAAATGTTCACTGCTATAAAAAACACAGTACACTGTATGTACTTGTAAGCGTTGATGTGAATGACCTCAAAAGGAATGGTTTAACTTCATCTGTTTTTGTATTCAGACATTGAGCTAAAAACCCACAATGGCAGACCATAATGAGCTGTCTGATGGAGAGGACGACCCTACAGAGACCTTTGATGACATTACTCAAAATGAAATGGAGTCCATTGTGAGAAAAGATCTCTTTGAAAATATTGATGAAATGACCACCCCTATGAAGATGACCAGAACCAGTGTGGAACATTCCAGGGAACACATGAAAGTCTATCTTAGGGTGAGACCATTTACAGACAAGGAGGTGAATGGAGGTGAATCTCAGGTAAGAAAGAGCTCTGTAAATTTTTTGTCATTTAATTTTTGTAATACTTTACATGTATCTGCTGTATGAATACATCTTCAATGGAAGCACACACATCCCCGCAGTTGCATTTATTGTACGCAGGAACATTAAAATATTCCTTACTTTGAATATTGACACGTCTCCTGTCATTTATTTATGTATGTAATACAGTATTTCTCTTTTGTGAGTGGAGAATAAATGTTATTGTTTCATTTTTATAATTTTTACAGGAATGTATGAACATAGAGGACATGTCCACCCTAATGATGCGAGCTCCTAAAGATAGTTTTATGTTTAAAAACAACACTCGCATGCATGGAGAAATGTCACATAAATTTACATTTACCAACATTTTTGGCGAAGACACAACTCAGAAGAAATTCTTTGATGAGACTATGCTGGGATTGGTCAAAGATTTTGTTGATGGCCAAAATTGTTTGGTATTCACATATGGGGTTACCAACGCCGGAAAGACCTATACTATCCAGGGTAAGAGATCAATTTATTTGTGAGTCGTTGGGATTAGCGAATACCACAATTACAGTCAAATATTATTAATTACTAAATTGTCAAAGTATGAAGTATGGATTTCTTCTACAAGGTGCAAAGGATAGACTTTAATCCATTAATGCTATTTAGCCACATCACTTTTATTTTGATGTACCTTTGTATTTATTTATTTATTTATTTATTTTTCAATATGTTATCTTACCATACAGGCAGTCCACAAGATGGCGGTATTTTACCAAGATCTTTAGATGTTATCTTTAATAGTATTGAAGGCAGGCAGTACCAATGCCTTAACCTGAAACCAAGGTACTTCTCTGATGTGGTAAAACTCACTGAGAAGCAACAGCAGAAAGAGGAACAAATTAAGACTAGTACTCTTCATCTGGCTGATGTCATCAGTAGCAAACATGTGAGTTGATTTTTGGAAGTCTTATTATATGTACCCTGGATTAGTGTTCTATGATTTCAATGGGAGGCTAAAAGCCCCTAGTTTCAGAAACATTCATGTTCGCCAAGTCTACTTGATCTAGGTATGTGCATTAAATTTGCTGCACAGCTCTCTACTAGTCCCAAACATTAGATTTTTGTGCCCTGTCTTTTTACAGTTGAAACATTTTGCAATCCAAGTAGTCAGGAGAGACAACAGCAGCACTCATTGGCTGTAAGTGTTACCTTGCACACATACATGTAATTCAGTATTAGGATGGTTCATTTACATATTGACTGTACTGACTCTCATCTCTTATAGGATGGTGGGAGTAATAACACTGAGGGTTGTGAATCTGATGTGTCAACTACATCCAGGGTATCCACTATAACTATTGCAGATGATACTATTAATAGCACATGTACAAACTCATCTCAAGATGGTAGGTTGTATCCCTGGTAAATGTAAGAATTCATGAGTGCTTCTCTGGATGGTTCCATTTTAATTTTTGTGATATTTGAATATTCAGATGGACTTTGCACACTGAGTATGCGTGTCAAAAAAAGTATTGTTTGTCCTGAAAAACTTGCATTCTTAGGATGTTTTTTTGTCTATTTAGGAAATTATTACTAGAAATAGAAGTACTGATCTATACATCATTTCTGTCCTCTTTTGCAGCTATTAACAGTATCATGGATGAAATCCATTCGCGTATTCCTGATGACACGTCTATTGATGTGGAAGCACAGGGACCAGTGAAATTCTCAGTCTGGGTATCCTTTGCTGAAATTTATAATGAGTACATATATGATCTACTGCAACCCATGCCAAAAGAAAAAAAAGCAAGACGCCCTCCTTTAAAGTTGTCAGAAGACAAGAAAGGCAGTATTTACATTCGAGGTACATGTAGTCATATGCTCCTTGGGATGGAATTAAGTTGCTTTAGAACTGAATATCTTGCAAATACTGTTTATAAATATAGCATCTACTATATAGATATTAACAAAATACCTGAATTGAATTGTGCAGGAAAGGTATTGCATCTAGGACAATATCAAAGTGTACAATGTGAAGGAAATTCAATGCAGGTTTTTTATTATTATGTGCATCTTTTGAACAAAAATTGCAATGGAAAGTTCAGCTAACTACAGCTTTCAGAGTTTTCCATCAGTTTTTAGTGGCATATTCAATGTCTTCCAATGTGCGCTTGCATCAACACAAATTTGCAGTGTTCACATTGTTTCGTACTCACTCACCCTTATACTTATCAAAATGTTAGAAAGACTTGCAGGTATTTGTACAGTCACCTTCAGAGAATATTGTCGCATGTATCAGTGACTGAGAAAACTGATTAATGCTAATAATCACTACTGAAATGTTCAATTTGAAGTCGTGTAATATAATCATATTTTATTTTAAATACAAATATGTATTTTCGGATGAAACTTGTTTTTTTATCTTTATGTTCAGATGAGGTCAAATTTTATTATCTACTATCATAAGACTGTTGTATACTTCACAACCTGCAATAACAAAATGATTGGTACTTACCCCCGGTAGATGAGGTTTATAATCAAAAATTGACCACTGCCCCTTTCCCACTGCCACCTCCCACACAATCAAACATTATCACAGACATAATAGCTGTCAACTTGTGTGCTTTCACACATTTTTGTACACATTTCATTTCTGGTATTATCCAACAGGACTGAAAGAGATTCAAGTGACCAGTGCTGATGAAGCTTATAAGGTGCTTACAATTGGACAGAAGAATTTACAGATTGCTTCCACCAAGTTGAACCATTGCTCCAGTAGAAGGTATGCTATACATTCACCACACAGTCAGGTTAAAGGGTGGTCAGTGTTCATCATGTAGTGTCTTTTCATATTGAACATTGATTACGTTGCATCATGCACATCATATTGTATTGACCATTACCCATAAATTTTTTAGTGTAATTTTGCGTTACAGAGCATGCTACTGTGCATTTTTGCTCTGCATTGTAGGATTGAACTTCTCATTGTATATAAAAATTATCATCACATAGAAAAATCGCCAATTCAATGTGAATTTGAACATATCAACCATCGAACTTGGTATGAATATGTGATTTGATTGAAAATGGTTGTCTGGTTTTTCGAACATACTTTGCCGATTTTATTCAAAAAAGTTATCTTACAGTGGGTAGCACATTATCATGCTGAATGCTCTCCCAATAAATGATTATAACCTACATTTATCATTGTTTACTAAAAATTATTTGTTTGAAATGTTTTTTTGTATTATTCATATCAATACTAAAATATATCATTTTCATCCTATGTCGCAATCTTAAATTTTGAGATATGAAGGAATTATTTCACCCAAAGAACCAGTGCACAAATGCATATTTTGTCCCCTTTCATGACATTTTTTTTGTTTTGTTTTTTGATAATATACAATCTCATCTTTGTCATTTACATGTGTTAGTCAAAGAGAAAATAGTAAAAATTCTACCATTACATTTCAATTAAATGTTGTGTTTTTCTTTCCCCTAGTCACTGTATCTTTAGCATCAAAGTGTTAAGAGTGGTTGATGTCAGTGAACCCCATGTGGCAAGAGTCAGCAAGTAGGTAACCACATCACCACTATATGTAAACACAAATATTAGTAGTATTGAGGGAACATTGGTTTATGTCCACTCATGGCTTGTGCTTGTTCCACTTTATCAGTGTGAACACATTGCATTAATTACAATCTTTAAACGACCCACTACATGTAGGTGCAAACAAACTGTCAGGTGATCTGAAATAAACATTTCTTAATTATTTGCTACACCAATAAAAAAGTTCTGATGTCACAGATAAAACAAATTACAAAAAATACTAGTATTATTCATTTGTGAATAAATGCTATCAAGTTGCATTTTAATTTGGAATATAAAATTTATTTACTACTCACCTGGAATTTGACTTGTAATGTTTTTGAATCTTTACAGATTATCTTTCTGTGACTTAGCTGGCTCTGAACGTTACACCAAGACTCAGAACACTGGGGACCGATTAAAGGAAGCTGGAAATATCAATACTTCTTTGCTATCATTAGGAAAGTGTATTGCAACATTAAGATATAATCAAAACCATCCAAAGTAAGTTATTAATATAACCCATCACTCGTTAACTCCTTTATAATACCATTCATAATGGCCATCTTTGGGGCTTGTAGTAATGCATTTTTGTGCAGATGACACACAATTC